CTTCCCTAAGTACCCCATCAGGATGTGTGCTTGCGCTTGGCATTGGGTTTTCCAAGAACAAGCTTGGTTATCCAGCCTGACTCAGCTTTGTCCACACCCCAAACTAGGGCTGAGCAGGAAACTCAGAGAATGATGTATTGCACAGGCCAGATTATTGCCTGTGACAACACAGAGCTTCTCCCAGTTGAAAGAAAATCTGCTTCTCTCTTAACTTCAAGTGCCACCTACTGGTCTGGAAGTCAAACTTCACAACCTAATACAAATATGGCTGACTCAGTGAACAGCACTAGGGATTGAGATAAGTTTCTGAAGACCTCTATCTCCCTGTCTCTACAAGAGATTGAGAGCCTACTCACATGCTCAGTACACCACTACTACAGCCAGCATTTGACAGAACCACCATACTAAGGGTATCTATAACCAAGGAATTCATACAGAACCTTAGCCCCCTGAAAGCACCAAGAAGCAAAGCCAGACAACCCTATTCAACATACATTACAATCATCCTCAAAGAGGAAATAAAAAGTCCTCTCCAAACAAAAGTAAATTCAAAAATAAGAAGTGACACCTCAAAATAAGAAAGGACCAACACAACAATTTCAGCAGCATGAAATAACAGTGTGTTATAGTAACCTCAAAGGATCACACCCAATATCTAACAATGGATCCTAACCAAAACAAAAATTCTAAAATATCAGATAAAGAATTAAAAATATAATTTGCAAAGAAGCTCAATGAGATCCAAGAGAAAGTTGAAACCCAACATAAAGAAATTGGAAAATAATTCAAGATATGAATGAAAAATTTGCTAATAGACTTAAAAAATAAAAGAACATCTGGAAATGAAACATTCATTGAGGCAATTACAAAATACAGCTGAAAGCTTTAACAATAGATTAGACAAAGAGGAAGAAAGAATTTCAGACTTGATGATAGGTCTTTGGAAGTAACCCAGTCTGACAAAAATAAAGAGAAAATAAATTTTTTAAATGAACAAAGCCTTTGAGAAATATGGGATTATATAGGCCACCTAAACCTACAAGTCATAGGCATCCCTGAGGGAGAAAGAAAAATTTAAAAGTTTGGAAAACCTAATCGATGGAATAATTGAGGAAAACTTTCCGCCTTGCTAGATTACACATCTGATACAAGAAGCTCAGAGAACTCCTAGGAGATACATTGCAAGACAACTATCACCAAGGCATACAGTCACCAGACTATCCAAAGTCAACATGAAGAAAGAAAATTCTAAAAGCAGCAAGAGAAAAGTGTCTAATCACCTATAAAGGAAATCTCATCACACTAAGGGCAGACTGCTCATTAGAAACCTTAAAGCCAGAAGAGATAACAGCATACGGCTCATCAGAAACCTTACAAGCCAGAAGAGATTAGGGTCCTATTTTGAGTCTTTCTAAAAAAAAGAATTAAAGAAAAGCCAAGCATGGTGGCTCACACCTGTAATTCCAGCACTTTAGGAGGCCAGGGTGGGTGGATCACTTGAGGTCAGGAGTTTGAGACCAACCTGGCCAACATGGTGAAACCCCATCTCTACCAAAAATACAAAAATTAGCCAGGAATGGTGGCAAGCACCTATAATTCCAGTTACTCAGGAGGCTGAGGCATGAGAATCACTTGAACCCAGGAGGCAGAGGTTGGAGAGAGCCAATATTGTGCTACTGCACTCCACCCTAGGTGACAGAGCAAGACTCCATCTAAAAAAAAAAAAACAAAAAACAAAAACAAAACTATCAGCCAACAATTTTACATCCTGCAAAATTAAGGTTTATAAGTGAAAAAGAAATAAAATATTTCCCAGACAAGCAAACAGTAAGGGAATTCGTCACCACTAGACTGGCTCTATAAGAAATGACAAAGGAGTTCTAAACATAGAGACAAAATGTCTTCATCATAAAAACACATAAAAAGTATAAAACTCACAAGCCTTATAAAACAATTACACAATTTAGTCTATAAAGCAACTAGGTAACAATTGACATTATGACAGGAACAAAGCTTCACATATCAATATTAACCTTGAATGTAAATAGTATAAACATTCCACTTAAGAGTATAGATTGGTGAAATTAATTTTAAAAAAATAAGATCTAACCATATGTTGCTCACAAGAAACACATCTAACTGGTAAATACATTTCAAGACTCAAGGTAAAGGCTTGGAAAAAGATATTCCATGCAAATGGAAATCAAAAGCAGATGGGGTAGCTATACTTATATCAAATAAAACACACTTTGAATCAACAATAGTAAAACAAGACAAAGAAAGTTATTATTATATAATCAATATTTTAAGACAACTTTAAATCAAATAAATTTAAAGTTGTCTTTTTTTACTGTTTGTCCCTATTATTAGAAAATAAAGGGATCAATAAGAAAAGCAGTATACAGCAATGAAATAATAGTGGGAGACTTCAGCAGTTCACTGATATCACTAGACCAATTATTGAGGCAGAAAATCAACAAAGAAACTCTGGACTTAAATCAGACTCTAGGCTAAATGGACCTAACAGACATTTATACAACGTTCTACCCAACAACTGAAAAATATACATTTTTTTCTCATCCTCAAATGAACAATTTTCAAAATAAACCATACTTTAAGCCAAAAAAACAAGTCACAATAAATTTTTAAAAATCAAAATTACATCAAATATCTTCTCAGACCACAGTGGAATAAAACTAGAAATCAATACCAAAGCAGATATGCTGATGGCAAATAAGTTTATGAAACAATACTCAACATCATATCTCATTACAGAATTACAAATTAAAACAACCCAAAAACTGACATTCACAATACCCAATGCTATTGAGAACATGGAGCAAAGGAACTCTCATTCATCACTGGTGAAAATGTAAAATAATACAGCCACTTCAAAAGACAGTTTGGTGGTTTCTTACAAAAATAAACATAAACAGAAGCTTACCATATAATATAGCACCTGTACAACAAGGTATTTATGCAAATGAGCTGAAAATCTTTTTGTCCATACAAAAACCTGCACTTGGATATTTATAGCAGCTTTACTTGTAATTGCCAAAAATTGGAAGCAACCAGATGTCCTTTAATAGGTGAATAAATGCATGAACAATGGGATAGTATTCAGTGATTAAAAGAAATGAGCTATCAAGTCATGAAGAGACATGGAAGAACATTAAATGCATATCAGTAAGTGAAAGAAGCCAATATGAAAAGGCTACAGAATGTATTATTTCAACTTTTTTTTTTTTGTAAGATGGGGTTTCACCATAATGGCCAGGCTGGTCTTGAACTCCTGACCTCAGGTGATCCACCCACCTCGGCCTCCCAAAGTGCTAGGATTACAGGCGTGAGCCACCGTGCCTGGCCTATTCCAACTTATAACATGCAAGGAAAGGCAAAACTACACAAACAGCAGTCAAAAGATTAATAATTACCATGAGTTCAGGAGAGGGGGTGAGATGAACAGGTGGAGTACATTTTCAGAATGGTGAAACCATCATTCTGTATATACTCCAGTGGTGAATACCTAAAACTATGCATTTGTCAAGGCCCATAGAACTGTGCAACATACATAGTGAACCCTAATATAAACTATGGACTTTATACTACACTAATGCAAGATGTTAAAATAGCGGAAACTGAGGAAAGGGGATCTGGAAACTCTTTGTACTTTCCACACAATTTTTCTGTAAACCTAAAAATGCTCTAAAAAATAGCCTATTATCTGGTCTGAGTGCAGTAGTATTTACAACTAATTGATCACAATTTGTTACAGATTTCTTTTTATATTTTAGGCTTTAGGGTACATGTGAAAGTTTGTTACATAGATAATCAAGGGTCATGGGGGTTTGTTGTACATGCTATTACATCACCTAAGTACTAAGCCCAATACCCAATAGTTATATTTTCTGTTCTCCCTCCTCCCAACCTGCCCCTCAAGTAGACCCAAGTGTCTTTTGTTTCCCTCTTTGTGCTCATAAGTTCTTCTCATTTAGCTCCCACTTATAAGTGAGACTATGCAGTATTTGGTTTCTGTTCCTGCATTAGTTTGCAAAGGATGATAGCCTCCAACTCCATCCATATTCTTGTAAAATACATGATCCTGTTCTTTTTTATGACTGCATAATATTCCATGGTGTATATGTTCCACATTTTCTTTATCTAGTTTGTCATTGATGGGCATTTAGGTTAATTTAATATCTTGCTGTTGTGAATAGTGCTGCAATGAACATTTGTGTGCATGTGTCTTTACTGTAGGTAGAATGCTTTATATTCCTCTGGGCATACATCCCATAATGGGATTGCTGGGTTGAATGGTAACTTTAAACTCTTTGAGGAATTACCATGCTGCTTTTCCAATGGTTAAACTAATTTATACTCCCACCAACACTGTAAGAGTTTCCTTTTCTTTGCAATCTTGCCAGCATCTGTTATTTTTTGACTTTTTAATAATAGCCATTCTGACTGGCATGAGATGGTGTTCCATTGTGCTTCTGATTTGCATTTCTCTAATGATCAGTGATATTGAGCTTTTTTTCATATGCTTTTTGGCCACATGAATGTCTTCTTTCAAGAAGTGTCTCTTCATGTCTTTTGCCCACTTTTTAATAGGGTTCTTTGCTTTTCTCTTGTAAATTTGTTTATGATCCTTATAGATGCTGGATATTATCTTTGTCAGATGCATAGTTTGCAAATATTTTCTCTCATTCTGTAGGTTATCTGTTTATTCTGTTGATAGTTTCTTCTTTTTTATTTTTTAATCTTTTTGTAATTGTACTTAGGTTCTGGGGTACATGTGCAGATCATACAGGATTGTTGCATAGGTACATACATGGCAATGTGGTTTGCTGCCTCCATCCCCCCCATATCTGGCATTTCTCCCCATATTATCCCTCCCCAACCTTCCCACCCCCCACTGTCCCTCCCCTAGCCCCCCAACAGACCACAGTGTGTGATGTTCCCCTCCCTGTGTCCATGTGTTCTCATTGTTCAGCACCACCTATGAGTGAGTATATGCGGTGTTTGATTTTCTGTTCTTGTATTAGTTTGCTGAGAATGATGGTTTCCAAATTCATCCATGTTCCCACAAAGGACACAAATTCATCATTTTTTATGGCTGCATAGTATTCCATGGTATATATGTGCCACATTTTCCTTGTCCAGTCTATCATCAATGAGCATTTGGGTTGGTTCCAGGTCTTTACCATTGTAAACAGTGCCACAATGAACATACATGTGCATGTGTCTTCATAATGGAATAATTTATAAACCTTTGGATATATACCCAGTAATGGGATTGCTGGGTCAAATGGAATTTCTATTTCTAGGTCCTTGAGGAATCGCCACACTGTCTTCCACAATGGTTGAACTAATTTACACTCCCACCAACAGTGTAAACGTGTTCCTATTTCTCCACATCCTCTCCAGCATCTGTTGTCTCCAGATTTTTTAATGGTCATCATTCTAACTGGTGTGAGATGGTATCTCAATGTGGTTTTGATTTGCATTTCTCTAATGACCAGTGATGATGAGCATTTTTTATATGTTTGTTGGCCTCATATATGTCTTCTTTTCAAAAGTGTCTGTTCATATCCTTTGCCCGCTTTTGAATGGGTTTGTTTGTTTGTTTGTTTTTCTTGCAATTCTGATTTAGTTCTTTGTAAGATTCTGGATATTAGCCCTTTGTCAGATGGGTCGATTGTGAAAATTTTTTCCCATTCTCCTGGTTGCCAGTTCAGGAGTTTAATTAGATCCCATTTGTCTGTTTTGGCTTTTGTTGCCAATGTTTTTGGTGTTTTAGTCATAAGTCCTTGCCTATGCCTATGTCCTGAACAGTTTCGCCTAAGTTTTCTTCTAGGGTTTTTATAGTGTTAGGTCTTACGTTTAAGTTTTTAATCCATCTGGGGTTAATTTTATTGTACGGTGTCAGGAAGGGGTCCAGTTTCTGCTTTCTGCACATGGCTATCCAGTTTTCCCAACACCATCTATTAAACAGGGAATCCTTTCCCCATTGCTTGTTTTTGTCAGGTTTGTCAAAGACCAGATGGTTGTAGATGTGTGGCTTTGCCTCCGAGGCCTCTGTTTTGTTCCACTGGTCTATATCTCTGTTTTGGTACCAGTACCATGCTGTTTTGATTACTGTAGCCTTGTAGTATAGTTTGAAGTCAGGTAGCACGATGGCTCCAGCTTTGTTCTTTTTGCTTAGGATTGTCTTGGCTATGTGGGCTCTCTTTTGGTTCCATATGAAGTTTAAGGTGGTTTTTTTCCAGTTCTGTCAAGAGGGTCATAGGTAGCTTGATGGAGATAGCATTTAATCTATAAAGTACTTTGGACAATATAGCCATTTTCAAGATATTCATTCTTCTTACCCATGAGCATGGAATGTTTTTCCATCATTTGTGTCTCTCTTATATCCTTGAGCAGTGGTTTGTAGCTCTCCTTGACAAGGTCCTTCCCATCCTTTGTTAGTTGTATTCCTAAGTATTTTATTCTCTTTGTAGCAATTGTGAATGGAAGTTCACTCTTGATTTGGCTCTCTGTTTGTCTGTTATTGGTGTATAGGAATGCTTGTGATTTCTGCACACTGATTTTGTATCCTGAGACTTTGCTGAAGTTGCTTATCATCTTAAGGAGATTTTGGGCTGAGCCAATGGTACCAGCTCCTCTTCAACCAACAGAATGAAAAAATCTTTTTGCAAGCTACCTATCTGACAAAGGGCTAATATCCAGAATCTACAAAGAACTAAAACAAATTTACAAGAAAAAAACAAACCCATTGAAAAGTGGGTGAAGGATATGAACAGGCACTTTTCAAAAGAAGATATTTATGCAGTCAACAAACATATGAAAAATGCTCCTCATCACTGGGCATTAGAGAAATGCAAATCAAAACCTCATTGAGATACCATCTCACACCAGTTAGAATGATGATCATTAAAAAATCTGGAGACAATAGATGCTAGAGATGATGTGGAGAAATAGGAACACTTTTACATTGTTGGTGGGAGTCTAAATTGGTGTAACCATTGTGGAAGACAGTGTGGCAATTCCTCAAGGATCTAGAAATAGAAATACCATTTGACCCAGCAATCCCATTACTGGTTATATATCCAAAGGATTATAAATCATTCTATTATAAAGACACATGCACATGTATGTTCACTGCAGTGCTGTTTACAATTGCAAAGACTCGGAACCAATGCAAATGCCCATCAAGAATAGACTAGTTAAAGAAAATGTGGCACATATATACCATGGAACACTATGCAGCCACATAAAATGATGAGTTTGTGTCCTTTGTAGGGACATGGATGAATCTGGAAACCATCATTCTCAGCAAACTGACACAAGAACAGAAAACCAAACATCACATGTTCTCACTCATAAGTGGGTGTTGAACAATGAGAACACTTGGACACAGGGAGGGGAACATCATACACTGGGGTCTGTTGGGGGTCTAGGGGAGGGACAGTGGGAGATGGGGAGGTTGCAGAGGGATAACATTAGGAGAAATACCTAATGTAGGTGAAGGGGGGATGGAGGCAGCAAATCACCATAGCATTTGTACACCTATGTAACAATCCTGCAAGATTTGCACATGTACCCCAGAACTTAAAGTATAATAAAAATAAAAATAAAATTTTAAAAATTTAAAAATTTAAATTAAAAAGAAAATGACTGAGATGATAAGCCTAAGGAAAATTACAGAGTAACACTGCTCCCAAAGGAGTACAAACAGAAAAGCAGAATTTCCGTTTACAAATGATGACCGTACCATGACAGCTCCCAGAATTAGCAGTAAGGAGCACAACTCTCCAGGTTCATTATACTCTGAGCACAGTATATGTTTCTTCTTTTCTGAATTTCAAGGTAATATGACATTTGCTTAATGAATGAAAATTCATAGTATAGAAGATGGAGGACCTCAGTAAGTATTTAGATATTAGAAGACAGGAACAAAGTGGCCATTTTGGAATTAGACTTTTATCAAAAGTTATCCAAGTCTATTTTTCATGAGAATTACCAGGCTATTATCTGCAGATGAAAATGCCAAGCCTCCTAATCCTCATAACTATCAATTAATTATATTTTCCATTCCTCTCTCAACAATTTCAACTTCCTGTTTTGAGCAAACTCATCAGCTGAGACAGATTTATCAACATCTTGTTTTAAACCCTTCAAAAAACATTATGAATAAAGAAAATTTAAAACATTTTTCAGCTAAGACATCCTCATTCTCAAATAAGAATACTTACTTAATTTAGAGTTTCTACACGGCTTAAATAAAATAGTTTTAAATATCGAGTTTTCCAGTCATGGTAAAGGGCTGGTGCACAAAAATGTGATTCTTTTTCTTAAAAATCCACTTAATTTGATATCAAATTAGGGAGAAAGATAGTTACTCACCTTGGGCTCTTGTGCCAATAGCCCTTGTATGTATGTACTTACAGTTTTCTCAAGTATGTTCTAAGCACAGAAGTTTCTCAACGGGGCCAAAATGGGATACTGAGTTGTTTTGTTTTGTTTTGAGACCGAGTTTCGCTCTTGTTACCCAGGCTGGAGTGCAATGGCACGATCTCGGCTCACCGCAACCTCCGCCTCCTGGGTTCAGGCAATTCTCCTGCCTCAGCCTCCCGAGTAGCTGAGATTACAGGCACGCACCACTATGCCCAGCTAATTTTTTGTATTTTTAGTAGAGACGGGGTTTCACCTTGTTTTCCAGGATGGTCTCGATCTCTTGACCTTGTGATCCACCCGCCTCGGCCTCCCAAAGTGCTGGGATTACCGGCTTGAGCCACTGCGCCCGGCCAGAATACTGAGTTTTTACTCATGGTAAAGGGCTGGTGCTAACTGACCTCTTCCTTCCTTGCAAGGCTAACTGTGGCACCCAGCAAAATTACTAGCTGGAGTTACTGGTGCAATGAGCAAATGTGGAAGAATTTGTTTCTCTGTGATACTAACTGGATTGTTCAAGTTTTGAAACTGTGACCCTAGTCCATTAGCACCATGCTTTACTCAAGTGAAACAATCAAGCCCCTATTGCTATGGGGGGAGTTGTATAGGGTAGGGTTAGAGGGGGATTGAGGGCAATTATATACATCATTAAGATATACAGTGAAAATGTAATTTGTTAATATACTATATTTGAGGTTTGAAAATCACTGATCACAGCTATTAAATAACAATACACCAGAGTTTTATAATATTTGAACCCCTGCAAATGTAGAGCTTTCTGGTATGATCCAAATTTGAATACAAATGGAAGTTCATTAAGTGTTAGGCTTATCAGTAAACCAGAGGAAATAAACTACATACATTTTACAGGTAGCCACCTATGCAAAAAGTGGAGATTAGGTAAAAATTTAGTGAAATTATGCATACACTTAGAGTTTCATCTTTCTCCTGGGAAAGCCCCAAAACAGGCCTCTGGAAAACCAACTTATATACATGTACAAAATGGCATCTGCTCTCATATAGATATAGCTTTCCCTCAATGGTAGAGAAGTCACAGATGTATCTCAAACATTCATTTTCATGCATAAGGATTTTTGTGACACTTATTCCACTGAAATATTTTAAAGGAAGTCTACAAACCACTTCTAGGAAAAAGGCACTTCACTGTGAAAGTTGGATTTAACTACATGAAAGTTGGGAAGACTAGGATAGACTCAAATTTCAGTTTCATTTTTGTATTTATGCATCTAGAACAAATGCCTGTTTAGAGAAGACAACCAATAACATTATAAACAAACCAAACATATTCTTGACAAATTTATGACATTTCTCCAAAAAACTAGCCTAGTTCTAAGTTCAACAGTAAAAAGAAAAAAACATCACCAACAGTTGCTTCTTTAGAGCTCAAGACACTGTTTTCAATAGAATTTCACATCTGCAGTTTGGTTCTCTGCTTCAGACATGAACTGCTTTTCAGATGAAAAACCTGGGGTGCCAGAGGTGTGTTTGTGTTGTGGAAGAACCCAAGGCAGAAAAAGAACAGGGAGTAACAAGAGGCGCATTTCTCTGGTCAGACAGCCAAGTGAGGAGGCAGTTATTCTGAGAACTTCTCAAATAGAGAATACTGTACTAAACTACTGAGAGTTGGGGAAGTAGCAGGAGCTTCTCTGTGAGACTGAAGATAGCAACAGGAATATTTCTCCTCCAGGGAAGTCAGGACCAGGGTGTCAGTGCAGCTTGAAAGTGACTCTTCTTTAAAAGTATCCTGTTATATCACCACACATGGCAATCCCATACAACGCTGAGTCCCATCATCTCTGCTGTTGGTGTTTTTTCACTCGGTACTAGCATATTTCTCTTACCAGTATGTAAAAAGCATCTTCAGCACCCTGTCTGGTCTTGGCTGAGGTTTCAATTAATGGAATCCCATTACTCTTGGCCAGTTCATGGGCTTGTTTTGTATCAACTGTCCTTGTTGGCAAATCACACTTGTTTCCCACTAGCACTATAGGTACATCATCCGAGTCTTTTACTTGCTTAATCTGCTCCCTATAGAGGTTAATATCCACAAATGCCTCACTATTATTGATGGCAAATACACAGAGAAAGTATTCTCCTGTCCTCATGTATTGGTCTCTCATGGCACTGTACTCTTCTTGTCCACCTGTAACCAGTATGTCCAACAGACAAGTTTCACCACCTATAACCACCTGTTTTCTGTAAGAATCCTCTATGGTGGGATCATACTCATCTACAAAGTGGTTCTGGATTAGCTGGATGGTCAGCGTGCTTTTCCCAACATCACCAGTTCCAACCACCACCAGTTTGTACTTAGTCATTTACATGAGCAAGAACTCAAGCTCCACTGCCTCTGCTTTGGACAGATTTAGAACCACAGCCGAGAAAAATGTTGGAAACCCTGGAACCTCCATGAACAGCCCCCATCAGGGAGAAGCACTTCCGGCACCCTTTAAAACATTCTTAAGAATGAAGATGACTTAAAAATATATTGATCAAAAGATATTCTGACGCTATGAAGGCCTCTAGTCTCATGGAATATTTTGTATTTAAATATTTACTTTTTATATGTATTTATGAAAAGTTTTTTAATTAAATGTTAAGGGCTCTCAGATTCATAAGACAGACAAAGCAATTTAAAACAAAAGGAGTTTGAATTACTAATTCAGTAATTTATAAGGGCTGTCGCAAATGTTGATTTGTCTTCTCTGCTCTGATAAGTCTACTCTTCCAAGGCATCATATTTGTAGTTATCAAATGAAGCAATGGCACCATGCAAACTACACCACCACCTCAACCCTACTTCTACATATTAAACAAAAAAAATTTTTGTGCATCCACATGTACAAAATAATAAATAAACTTTTTTGAGAGATTGCTAACAATACCAGAGCATGGTTACAAAGTCATGAAAATAATTGCTGAAGCTAAAATGCCACACAAACGCAGAATTGCACTGTTTACCTACCTCGATGGAAATTGTCAACAGCCTAATTGGGACCCTAAAAGCAAAAGAAAGAAACAGAAAGGAGTGCCCCATCAGATGATACTATTAGTGGACACATGGATGACATTTCATATAATGTAGAAACCACACTAATTCAGAAGATTCAGAAGATTATCAATTGATTGGTATAAGTACATATATGAGTAACTCTGTCCATTTATAGCACTAATTACAAGGCACAAAGAGAAATTATTTGTTCCAGAACCAAAGTGCTAAATGAAACTATTGCAGATTAATTATTTGAGGTAATAAATGTAGATCGGGGGGGGAAGAAAAGAAATAGGATGGAAACACTGCAAGGGTTTGTGCACTCATGATTTGGTCACAATGTCAGGAAGATGTGAAGCCCTATATAACATGAATTTTATCTGAAACCCTGAGATTCAAGTAACACATGTTGTTTATTCATAGACAAGCTCTCATATGTAAATGTTTGCCTGTGGCTCTAAACTGCACATTGAATGATGAAACTAAAATGGTGAATCTAACAAAATACAAGCTCTTAGGGTCCATCTGGTTTCAGTTTCCAGTGAAGCATGAGATCAGAGTACCACTGTTTTTTATATCAAAATGTATTGGCATTCAAAAGAAGAGAGCTGTCAAGAATATATGCACCAAAATAAGGACTTTTTGCAAACAAATCTCACCTTGCAGATTTGTTGAAGGAGAGTCTTAGCTTAAATACAGTAGCTTAACTAGCTAACATTTTTGTGCACCTGCATTTAAATTAAAAATTAAATTTTTTTTGAATTTAAAAATACATAAGATGCATGCACGTGTGTGTATGCGTGTGTGTGTGTGCATGCATGTGTGTTTGTATGAATTAATCCTTTGTTAGAAAGAAATAAAGTCAAAATGGTTCGCATGTGATGATTAGTCAATTTTATTAGTGAATTGTTAAGATGAGTATGCTGACATCTGTATGTGCTGAAAAAAAGAGCTTTGACTTTATTTTTAAATACAAGCATATTTCAGTTTATTGCTCTGATGGAGATATATGCGGAGATGAATGTTGCTTTCATGCCTCTTTAGACAACGTCCATTCTGCCATTCATGGATCAAGGAGTAATTTAGACTTTCAAGTCTTATTATTTAAGAAATCCAATTTGTAAGGCTATTGCTGCCGTACATAGTGATTCCTCTGATGGATCTGGAATAATAAACTGAAAACTTTCTAGAAAGGATTCACCATTCTAGATGCCATTAAAAACATTTGTGATTCATGGGAGGAGGTCAAAATATCAACATGAACAGGAATTTCAAAGAAGCTGATTTCAATCCACATGGATGACTTTGAGGGGTTCAACACTTCAGGGGAGGAAGTAACTGCAGATGTAGAGGAAATAGCAAGAGAACTAGAACTAGAAGTGGAGCCTGAGCATTGACTGAATTGCTACAATCTCATGATAAAACTTGATTAGATGAGGAATTGCTTCTTACAGATGAGCAACAAGAAAGTGGTTGCTTGATATGGACTTGACTTCAGGTGAGGATGTGTGAACATTGTTGAAATGACAAAAAGGATTTAGAATGTTACATAAAGTTAGCTGATAAAGCAGTAGTAGGGTTTGAGAGGATTGACTCCAGTTTTAAAAGAAGTTCTGTTGTGGATTAAATGCTATCAAAGAGCCTCGTGTACTACAGAGAAATCTATCGAGAAAGGAAGAGTCAATTGATGTGACAAACTTCATAGTTGTCTTATTTTAAGAAATTGCCACAGCCACCCCAAGCTGTAGCAACCACCAGCAAAAAGATTATGACTCACTGAAGGCTCAGATAATCATTAGCATTTTTTAGCAATGAAGTATTTTCAGTTAAGGTATGTACATTTTTTTAGACATAGTGCTATTGTACACTTAACAGACTACAGGGTCCTGTAAACATAACTTCCATATGCACTGGGAAATCAAAAAAAATTGTGCAGCTTGCCTTATTGCAATATTTGCTTTATTGCAGTGGTCTAGAACCAAATCCACAATATCTCCAAGGTATGCCTGTACTTGATTAGATAAAATGTAATTGTGTTAAATTGAGCCATGTGTAATTGCCATTTTCTAAGTGAAGGATGGCCTCATTTTGGCAGTTCCATGTTTCAACATATTTAAAATCTATCACTATACATGACAAATTTCCACAGCATTTGAAAGTATCCATTTCAAGTACAAATCTTGTTATCTAAAAGATGTTATACATAAATTTGTCAAAAGTCATAAAATTATACACTTTAAATGACTGTATTTCTATGTATACATTATGCCTCAATAAAATAATTCAGATCATAATAGCAAACTCATTTCTCATTAAAAATTAAAAATATTTTATTTAGAAGTTTAATACTTGTTCAATATTTAATATATTTTCTAATATCTTATATTTGATCTATCTTATTATAATCTCATTATAAGTATACACAGAGTTTTATCAAGAAGTCCCATGCTGATGACCACAAATTCCTTCCAAGTCATCCCAGTGTGCTATACACATTCTATGAATGACAAGAAATGAAAAGGTCAGATGTGGCAGAGATTTCTAGCTGTCCACCAAAATACATTATCCCCTTCATTCATAAGATGTGAGTTGAATAGTGGTTCCAGATTATTCATACTCTCCCTGTATTAGAATTACACACATATCTTTGCTGTGTCAGTTTGTAGCATCTCCCAGTAGAATAGACAGCATATTTTCCCTGCCTATTGATGTTGGTCATGTGATATGCTTTGGCCATTGGAATTTAAGTGAAAGTGACATGTGCCATTTCTGGGCTGAGTCTCCAGAGGCATCAAGGCATCTCTGCTTATCCTTGTGCACTTCTATTATGAGAAGAACATGTCCCAAAGAGACACAGCCCTTTCAATCTGGGCCCCAGAACAAATATACATGGAATCAAACCAACAGCCTGGCACCATGCCCAACCAACCTGTAGCCTTAATCAGAGCCTTCCAGTTCAGCCTAGATTAGGTCAGCTGAACAGTAGCCAATATGCAAATTTGTGAGAGTGAAAATAAATGTGTGTTGTTTAAAAGATCCAGGTTTGTAAGTCATTTATTACACAGCATTAGTGCATTGAGAACTGACTTACACACATTCTAACAGAACTGTTGTTGGATACATCGCTGCCTCACCAGACTACATGTCCCTCACAGTTAGGTGTTGACATGTGACTAACTTCTTACCAATGAAATATAAGCAGAAATGTTACATGTCACTTTCAGATTTCGGCTAGACCATTAATGTGCCTCTTCTCTCTTCCCATTGGCTAGGACCAAGATATGGAAGCCAACCAGCTTTGATAACCTATAGGATGACAATGCCCTTAGGGATGATAAGAACAATGGCTCTGAAGATTCTTGTTCCCTGGATGACCACAGACCTAGACTGCTCACCTTAGAACTGAGATGAAAGAAAAATAAGTCTCTATATTCTTTGAGCCACTATATATTGAATGTCTCTTACACCCATTTATTTTTATCCTTAAGAATGAAGTTAGGAAACACTGCCTTCTCTTAAAAGTTTCATGGTATTATTCTTGAAAATTTAACCCAAAGTGTGCTTTTCTAGCAATGACTCCCCTGCCCAGTGATTTTGTGAACTACCCAATATCTTTTTAATGTCACTTCTTTTCTGGCTAATCAGTGGAGTAAGGTTCTGGTGACATAACAAGCAAACAGAAAACATAAGGAAAGATGGAAGCACTGTGACGGAAGCACTTTAAAGCTTCCTGTCAAATTTAGCTTTAAAAGCTTCTAACGTGTGATGGCCAAGCTCTTACTGAATTTTTTTTACATAAGGCCTTCTAGACACCACTGAGCCTCCCTTCCTCATTCTCTCTTTCTCATTTAAGCTAATGTAATCCCTTCAGCTCTTCATTCAACAAACATTTAGAGGGTGGCTGCTATGCACCAGACACTGGGGTATAAAGACAAATGAAAGTGTATTGGTCAGAAGTCATTAGGTATGCTACGGTAACAAATAGCCCTGAAATTTCCATAAATCCTAAATAGCCCTGAAATCTCCAGATCCTTAACAACCATTTATTTCTCGAGTATTCTACATGACGATCACATGTCAGCTTCCATTCAGGAACCAGGCCAACAGAATAACCTGGAATACTTGCTAGTCATCATGGCAAAGGGCAAAAGGAAAGAATATGGCAATCCATATGCTGGCTTTTAAAGCTGCTGACTCAAAATGATTCATATCACTTAATGAGCCAAAGCAAGTCTCATGGAAAAGCCTGACATGAATAGGGTAGGGAAATAGAGAAGAGCATGTATATTTATGCAAACAAGAACACAGTCTGCTGCAAGAGCCCAGCCTGCCCTCTGTGCCTCTGTGCCACCATGCATCTCTTAGATACTTCTCTATCTGCACTCACTATGCTACACCACAGTTCGCTGTGTATGTGTCCATGCCTCCTCCAGTGCCAGAAGCTCCCTGAGGCAGGGATCATAGCTTATGCATCATCCAGCCCAGCACGTTGCCTGGTACAGAATATATAGTTTATTCTACTCTGTATTTGGAGAATAGAGTAATGAATGAATGGAATCAAATTGCTCTTGGTCTTGGGAGAGTATGAGATAGGAAAGTGAACACTCACAGAACAAGCTAGCTGGATACTTAGGGAGTAAAAATGGAAGAATGACAACTTAGATAGGTTCCTTCACCCAGAAGACAGAAGATCACTCACGAATTGGAATTAGATTGTTTATAACAAGTAGTTTTTCTTATGTGTGATATCCTTGACTACTTGAAATTTGTCGCCAATCTTTGAAGAGGTAGGGGAGAGGGAAAGTGAAATTGCACTAACTGTGCAAAGATGGAGATGTGAGAAGCTGACTGCAAAGCCCAACTCACCAAGGTGGCTGTAGCAGCTGGGAGGACTCTCCCTTGGACACGCAGTCAGCAAGCTTACCCCTGGAAGATGATTTGAAAGCTTAACAAAAATGGAACTCCTGAGCAAACTACCGAAGGCCGTTCAAAAACTACGCCCAAGGTGACTTCAAACAGAAATAAATGCAGGAACGTATGTCTCCACAGCCAGGCCACCTGGGACTTGCTTCTGCTCTACACCTTAGCTGTCCCGTCCACCACATGTGGCTCCAAATTGCCTTTAGCCACTTCCAGATATTGAAGCTAATCTCTCAGGGCAAGAATTTGCTATCATCAAGCAACAGTCTCTGTGAAAGAGGGGTTTTACCCTTTTTTATGACAAGATAACGGTGTTAAACTTGCGATACTAATAGAATTATGAAATGTCAGAATTGGCGGAAACTTAAAAGCCAAAGGCTTACATCCCTTCATTTTGGAGCTCTGGATTCTAAGTTCCTTGAGGACAGAAACCATGTCTGATTGTATGGCCAATGCCCCCAGCACAGAGTTTCACCAGAAAATGGTGGTTGGTAAATGTTATTAAATGACAGAAGAGCTGAAAAGTAGTAAACAGTTGTTAAATGAAAAAAAAAATGAATGAGAGGCTGAATGAATAAATGCAATGTGGAAACTGAGACCCAAAGATATGCAGTATCATGCCCAAAATTACAGTGACTTAGAGCCGCAATTAAAAGCCAGGTCCTGGCCAGGCGCGGTGGTTCACGCCTGTAATCCCAGCACTTTGGGAGGCCGAGGCGGGTGGATCACGAGGTCAAGAGATTGAGACCATCCTGGTCAACATGGTGAAACCCTGTCTCTACTAAAAAATACAAAAAATTAGCTGGGCATGGTGGCGCGTGCCTGTAATCCCAGCTACTCGGGAGGCTGAGGCAGGAGAATTGCCTGAACCCAGGAGGCGGAGATTGCGGTGATCCAAGATCGCGCCATTGCACTCCAGCCTGGGTAATAAGAGCAAAACTCCGTCTCAAAAACAACAACAACAACAACAAAAAATCAGGTCCTCTGGCATCTAGGATAGAGCCTTTTAATGCAGAAGGAGAATTAACCACCTTCCCAGTTCAGGGGCTTCCCAAGTTGTTTTCTTTCAGCCCTCTACCCCTACACTTCCCAGGATAGGTCTGGTGAATTTCCCTTTGCTCCACCCTCACCTGCTGTGTGTCTGAGACTCCACACCACTTCCTTCAGGCATGCAAGTGTCCTGGGTGAGTGCAGAGTGGGGGACTGCTCTCTCAGTGCGACCGTCCTGCTGGGCAACCTCTGAGTAAAGGGTTGGTGACAATGGAAGTGGAGCTTGACTAGACCCCAATAAAAAGCTGGGTTAGCCTAGCCCCTGGGCTAGCGTGTGGATGCTGTTTGGTCTCCCGGCTGGCTTGTGGGTGCTCAGACCAAGCCCACAGTGCTCTCCAGTTGGCCTTCACAGGCAAGATCCTTCCCTCCTTTCTGTTACCGTCTGTTCTCTTAACACCTCCCACTCCCTCCTCCAGCTAATCTAAGGACAGGAATCCCTCCTCGCCCTCTCAAACATTTTACATTTTATTTTATTTTTTATTTATTCTTTTTTTTTTTTTTTTTTTTTTTGAGACGGAGTTTCGCTCTTGTTACCCAGGCTGGAGTGCAATGGCGTGATCTCGGCTCACTGCAACCTCCGCCTCCTGGGTTCAGGCAATTCTCCTGCCTCAGCCTCCTGAGTAGCTGGGATTACAGGCACGCGCCACCATGCCCAGCTAATTTTTTGTATCTTTAGTAGAGACGGGGTTTCACCATGTTGACCAGGATGGTCTCGATCTGTTGACCTCGTGATCCACCCGCCTCGGCCTCCCAAAGTGCTGGGATTACAGGCGTGAGCCACCACGCCCGGCCTATTCTTTTTTTTTTTTTAACGGAGTTTTCGCTCTTGTTACCCAGGCTGGAGTGCAATGGCGCCATCTCGGCTCACCGCAACCTTCGCCTCCTGGGTTCAGGCAATTCTCCTGCCTCAGCCTCCTGAGTAGCTGGGATTACAGGCACGCGCCACCATGCCCAGCTAATTTTTTGTATTTTTAGCAGAGACGGGGTTTCACCATGTTGACCAGGATGATCTCGATCTCTTGACCTCGTGATCCACCCTCCTCGGCTTCCCAAAGGGCTGGGATTACAGGCGTGAGCCACCGCGCCCGGTCCACATTTTAACTATTCCTTGAATCCTCTCCAACTCATGTAGGGCATGCTTTTGAAATCTAAAGCCAGGAAGAAGGCGTCTTTCTGCTGCTTTCTACTAAAGAGGAAAAAAATAAAGATGGGGCTGGGGAAGACTAGTCAATACCTCAAAACATTATCCTACCACAAGATGCCTGGGGATGTTCA